ACTATATCTTTAAATAATTTCAATATAAAGATATAAATATAAATATTAAATATAAACTGCCTTTTGGACAGATTTCAGTCTGGCTTTAGACAACACAACAGCATTAAGACTGCACTGACAAAGGTGTTAAATGACATTCTTGTCGATGCAGATTCAGGGTGGTTTCCATTGGTGATCCAAAAAAAAATCTTAGTGGATCACCATGACATGCGGTGTACCCCAGGGTTCGATTCTTGTACAACTGCTGTTCAGCCTGTACATGCTCCCTCTCGGTTAGGTCATATATGACAACACTGCCTATCATAGTTATGCAGACGACACTCGGGTTTACTTAGCTCTGTCACTACCAATCTTGAGACCAAACCGACACCCCTGCTAAACGGATGTCAATCACACCTTTTTACCTTCTTTTGTTTTTACACTTTCTGGTGTGTCCATCTAAACATGTTTTTATATTTATATTTTTGTTGAACTTAGCATGCATGTTACCTCACCATGCTATTTATGTCAGCATGTCTTATTAAGTCAGCATGTTACTCTTCTGTTGTCTTTCACTGCATGTTCCTGTCTGCATTCTGCTTCTCTCATTTCGTTGGCTGAGACAGTCGAGCAGAGGCTCTAGAGGGCCAATCAATGGAGTTGGGAGCGCCATTGAATGGAACACAGGAAGCTGTTGCAGAGGGTGGAGCCATCTTGCATGAAAGCAAATCAGTGGAGGAGGGAGAGGAGGAGGAGCCTGAGGCCTCACAGTAAGAGACCAACCAATCAGGCGCTCTGAATGGATTTAGGCCACTTGTCATAGTAACAGTAGTAGTATGTTGCTGTGACCTACTCCCTCAATGCCATGTCTCCCCAAGTGATTGGCAGGTATTACTGCATATGCCCCTCCCCCACGCATGGTTTTTCCTTTCTCATTCTGCAGAACAGGGGCGACGTGTGGAGCGCCTCTTACAAAGTCGTCAAGTGTCGGAGGTGAAATCTGTTCTCTGGGGAGAAATGATGATGACGATGATGACAAGAGGCGGCGCTTGAGTTTTGGAGCGAAGATGATGGGAATGGTTGGACTGGGAAAGAAGAGTCAGAGTGCCTCCCAGCTGAACCCTGAAGGTCAGTCCCAGTTTAACAAGGAAAACTCCGCAGATGGTTGATAAAGATGGATGATATCAGTATTCTATCTTATCAGGTCTACCACAAACCAACTAAAACTTCTCCAGGTTACAGTTCTGATGGAGTCCAGACTTTTTTTTTTAAATATTATTTCAAACATGTTCCAAATGTTTTCATTCCATGGTCACAGAGCTTTTCCTCAACAGTTGCAGCTGAGTGTTCAGAGAGAGGAGTTCAGTTAGATGCCTCGCTCAGAACTACAACTCTGACGCACTGGATAAATAAAGCATAACTGTAATTGTCAGGGTAACTGCAGGCCCTGGACCCAACTGAAACCCATAGGATGGAGAGAACCGGTTTAACCAGTACACCGGACCAGTTTGAGATCAGGTGGAATACTCAACTGTGCTCTGATTGGCCGATGAATCGAGTTTGACTTAGTGCAGATATTAAGAAGAAGAAGAAGAAGCTTTATTTATTGTCATTGTAACATTGTGACACATACAATGAAATTATGTTTGGAGCTGAGGGCCCCAGGCCGCTATGTGCATTTCACGGGCAACAGGGGGTTCAGTGTCTTGCACAAGGACACTTTGACTTGTGGACCGCAGGCACCAAGATTCGAACCTTCAACCTTCCGGTTGGGAGACAACTGCTCTACCCGTCAATATTCAGTGTTTGTTGCCTCGTTTCACATCTTGTTTTCTTTTTCTGTCCCCTCTGTCCATCCAGAGGAAGAGAAGAAGAAGAAGGTGGCGAGACTACCTGTCCAGAGAAGCATAGAAACTGGTTTGGCCATCGAGTTCAAATCCCGTTTCACCCGACAACCAAGTTGTGACCCGGATGCAGAGGACCCCAAACTTGGAGCGTATGAACCTCTTTTCTTTTAAAGAGAGCATTATTTCACTGCTCTAGTTCTCCTTTTTTATCTAACGTATTTATTTGTGAATTTGTTTACTGCAATGTGTTTGTTTATGTATTCTGTGTCTGTAAAAGTTTTGTACGTTTTTTTTTTTTTTGCCTCCATCTCAAAAGTCTGATATTTCCGGGAGTGAAGTTGGCATCAGACAAACAATTCACTGGCTTCCTGGAAGGATTAGGCCCCGCCCAGCTGGCTGGACGCCAGACTCTGGCAACGCCCCCAATGGGTAATGACCAATCAAAATATTGTTTTAAATTAATATATAATTATATCAATAAGTTAGTCTCAATATTTATACTTCAGTCTTTATATTTGTGTTGTTCTTTATACATTTGTCTTTACATTTATAAACTGTTTATACACAGCTTATTATTTATACATCTGGGCCTTTACTTGCAAAGCGTCCGAAGCTCAAAAGCCCCTGATGGTGAGATTCTAATTGTTAGAATTGCTATGGTTTCTAAAATTTTCCCCTTAAAGTTGAGATTAGATCCTTGTAAAGATAAAATTATCTTAGCCCCTAAGAGAGCTCCTACATTCACCTCTGGGTTGAGGTTCACCTAGAATCAAGGTGGCTCATTGAGACACATGATTGGCTGAAATCATGCACCAAGGGACTATCCTTACATTCAGCAGCATTCGCACATTATTTGTAATTTCATAATTTGAAAATTTAAAAATGGAGTCTCTCGCTTAGTTTTCTGATGAGGGGTTTAAAAAAGCCTAGGACCAAGGGCTCCCTGCCGCAGGCTGGTACCACACTGACACAGAGTTACATGTCAAACCAGATGGCACCTTGATGAGAGGACTGACAGATCGCATTTCCGTTTGAATTCTGACACCAAAAGAGCATGGTAACAAGTTAATGTAAGTGTAATAGACTGGGGCACTGTTTCGCCCTCACATTTGGATAAACGGACCAAAACATCATGGCAAAATGAAAAACAATTGATTTAGCTTTCATTTCAATTTTAAATCAAAATACTACTAAATTGAGGACTGAATTGGCACTTAGCATATTGAATTGCCCATCGCAAAATGAGGTGCTATTTGAATAAAAAGTCCAAAAAACGTCCATAGGCAGCACCTATGGACACGGCGTTTTTATTTATTTATTTATGTCATTATTTAATTAAACACCTGTTATCAGTGACATCATCTGGCATGAGTGACTGATTGGCTGTTTGTTGACCAGGTGACATCCAGATCGGGATGGTGTACAGGAAGGAGCGTCTGGATGTGGAGGTGATCCGAGCTCGAGGGCTTGTGGGTAAACAAGGCCACAAGAACACTCCAGGTGAAAACATTACACAGTACTACTACACATTACCAAAGTGTACCAGTACTACACTGTATATTGTGCTTTAGTTAATCTTCCTATTTAAAAGTTTATAAATAAATAACAAAAGGTTTCTAATAGTCCATAAATGTAAACGGATAAGACCATTTCTACATGTTGAATTAATGTCTTTAATTAAAACTTTTCATGAGGGATTTATAACTGTGGAGACAGGTAATACATTACTGTAACACAGCCTAACATATTTGATCATATGAAGGTATGACATGCATGCTCCAGTAATGTTAGAAGTCCTGATCAGTTACAGATTTGACAAAGACGTTAATATCTGTGACAATGTCATTTTCATAAATCACCTATGAAATGATTACATAGCAACATACTGTAAATGCAAAGCAGCAGTGCTGTCTCCTGAAATACTTCATTATTATGTCACATGGTACCAATATTTGTAGTATTCAACTCAAGTTTCATAGGAACTGATTCTGGGTTCACCTGTTCACACTACAGGTAAAACTGTTTCTGTGTGTCTGTAGCTCCATATGTGAAGGTGTATCTGATGGACAGCGGGAAGTGTGTGCTGAAGAGAAGAACTCGTCTAGCGAGAAAAACAATCGACCCTCTCTATCAACAACAGCTGCAGTTTGAAGAGAACCCTGAGGGGAAAGTACTACAGGTAATACTCACAGTACTCACTGTTTGTATACTTGTATACAGATGTGAGAGAGTAATAGTGTCTGTCAAACTGAGGTCCAAAGTCAAGATTTACGGCTCTGCCTACTTTTCATGCTTCCTTCTAGATCAGAGGCCGTCAATTTTTATGGTGCGTAGTTACATATTTCACATGTAGGTGTTACTTTCACTTTGATAAAACGTTTTTGCTCATAATTCATGGTTTTATAACATCAAAGTGTTTTGTTAGGGTGTCCTGGGGGAGTAGGACTGACCGTCACCCCCAGGTTAGGGTTATTATTTGGGTTTCTCAATACAAATGACCACCAGCACACAGTTAGTTTATTGCTCTCACAGTATTTGACAGATGTAAGCCTTAAAACTGAATTAATTCTCTTTGCAGAAATTCAGTAAATAAATAAATATTGTAAACTAAATAGTTCTTTTAAGCTTAGGATAAGTGTTTGTTTCACCCCAACATAGTTTAATTTTAAGGACGTTTAGCCCAATAGTTTTGATAGATGTAAGAATTAAAACCAGTTATCCTTTCAGAATTGCTGCAATGAAATATTAAACAAATCAAATAATTTAGAAATCCCCTTTTTTAAAACAGCCATGCAGGATGCAGGGTTTTCAACAAAAGGCTTACTGTTACATTCTTTTTAAATCCGATATGTTGTGAGGGTCCAACAAAAACCCTCAGCAGTATGGCTTCATCATAGTCTCTCCTTGACCTTTCTTGCGTTATAAGTGAACAGCTCACCAACCTCCACAAATACTGAAACTGAATCCAAAATGTAGCGCAGCTCCAGCGCAGGTCTTTTTGCGCAGGCTGTAGCATTCCACATGCAGTTTGCTTGCAGGTCTCCGGCTGCTCTTCTGTGGTCATGTGCAGTGGCGAATCAGCAACCTTTTTGTCCAGACAGGAGCGAGTTACAAAAGACCCATGCAGATTTTTACACTGTCCTCCAGTGATAGTTATGTGGCAAGTCCATTGCCTGAAGAGTAGGAGTAGCAGAGGTCCCCGCGGCATTTTGTCAGCAATGCCATATCACGGTCTTCCTTTTCAGGTACTGTTTAAGCCTGATGGTCATGTGGCGAATCAGTGGTCCGTAGTACATAAACACACCAGAGGCAATGGTAGCCTTGATTTTTACACTAATCAATATTTAGAAAGTTACATTACGAATGAGGTGAAATACCTGCTTTTCCTAAGCAGAATTATTTGATTTAGAGAGAAACATTGAACCTTATATCTGTGAAATATTTTGAGAGCATCAAACTGTCTTTGGTAGCCAGTCCTATTTGAAAACCCTAATAAAATAGGGTTGATGTAATAGCCCTGGCCTGGGGTGTTAGTCCTATTCCCCCAGGAAACCCCAGTAAAACCCTTTAATGTTATAAAAGCATAATTTATGATCAAAAATGTTATGTCAAAGTGAAAGTAACACCTATACATGAAATAAAAGTTGACAGCTATTGATCTAGGTGGAAGCAACGTGTGACAAAGTAGACGGCAAGCAATTCAAGCAATTCACATATCAGTTTTACAGGTAATGTATTGTATATCTCTCTAGTGTGCATTTAGCGTACCTGACAAATGAAGGAGCTGTTGACACACATGCTGTCAACGTCTAATTAGACAAAATCTAAGACGCACAGTTGCCACGGCAACTAACAAACAACCACATTTCATCCTTCACTTTGGTGCACTTCACAGTATTCTTGAGTTATATCTATTTTAACAGGGTAGTAGGCTGAACGGCAGCTACCTCAGTTGCCTGAATTTGGCTAAATCTGAATTGATCATGCATTTTTCTTATGGCAAGGAACAGCCGCCTTTGTCAAACAGTCCTGGTGATGTGCAGAGTTGTAGCAACTACAGAGGTATAAAGTTGATGAGCCACACAATGAAGCTATGGGGAAGAGTAGTGGAAGA